TAAGACCCCCTGCTGTAGGACAGAACTCTGACTAAAATAATCCACTCTTTTAATTTCCTTGCCCCACCCTCTTTCTGCCTATAAAAACCTTCCATTTTGTACAACTCCTCAGAACACCTTTCTATTTACTATATGGATGCTGACAGATTCATGAATCATTCAGTAAAGCTAACTACATCTTTACATTCACTTGGTTGAATTTTGTTTTTTAACATAACTGACAGTCCTATTCCACTAAACATATGAATCATCTGGTTAATGTCTTCCTCTGAGTGCTTTCTCTCCAAGTTTCCTTTCATTATTTGGCTTCCCACATAGTTTTCCAATAGGCAACCATGCTGAACTCATTCTACTTCATTTGAAAAAGAATAAACTTAGTTTACACATCAGTCACAGGAGCTTGGCTAATTATCATCTTCCTCTGAAAGATAAACTCACTTTGATAGGCTAACAAAATCTGGCCTCTGAGCATGGATTTGGATTGCTTGTCTCTAGATTTCTGCACTTATTCTACAAGACAAATACCATTTTGTAACACCTTTTGGTAGGCAGTCAGTCCATCAGCTCTCCTAGTGATACTATAGTTTCATTGTGCCTTCCTTTACCAATACAACAATCACGTGGTACCTTTTCATATGTTCCCATAGTCTTCGTCATTCTCCTCCAGAAACTCTAGTTTGTGTAGTGTGGTGCCCAGAATTGACTTTAATTTGACCCAACTAACCAGAGATCACTACCACCTTCCTTATTACGAACACTATACTTCTCTTCGTGAATTTTGGTATTTATACTGAGCTAAATCCTCCTAAAAGTCCTTTTCGCATGTCTTAGTGCTATTCAATTACACATCCCCCCATTCTCTTCTTAGAATGTATGTTGTGAATACAACTTCACTTTCATCTCAATTAATGCTATCACGGTTAGCTAGCTGAAGCTCTAGGTTTTCAAATTCTGACAACCAGTGTGCCACCATCCCAGTTTCATGATACCTCCCCTCCTCTTGCAGACAGTCATTTAAGGTACCTGATTATAAATTGTTTGGTGTAACTTCAGTCCTCTTTCATGGAGCTGCAACTATATAATAAAGATATAGTTTAAGTATTTGGGGCGAAAAAAATCAATACTACCAATGTCTCCCTACAATCTCACACATTTCCCCCATTATATCAAATTAGCATGGTTCCCTTTAGCCTTCATTACTATATAAATAAAAAACCTGGTCAAAGACTTTTCAGTAGATGTATTCAAGCACTTCATAAATCTAACTCATGGACTCTCCCAAGGGGCTATTACAAAATATGAAAGAAACAATGATAAGAAGGCTGAGGAAGAAACGGTTAATACCATTTCCTCCTGAAAACCAGCCCCCCACCGTGGTAAATTTCACCTATATTTCTGAAACATGGAAGGTACAACCTATTGTAATACAATACAATACTCAGGGGTAGGGATGTAACTTGGTATTATATTACAACAGGTACAGGTTGTACCTTCCATGTTTCAGAAATACGAGTCAAAGCTACCAGAGAAACCCAAAGAAAAGCACACTGTTATATAGAAATGTGTGCCTTTGAGTTCTGTGACGTCACCAATATCTTCCTGAAAAGTATGCATAAGGAATACCCTTGGGAGAGTCAAAATGTATCTAAGGCAGCATTAGCCATGAACTTAAAAAAAAATAAAAATGAAACACAAAGAAACAAAACTCTCCCCATCTAGTTTCCATGATTGTGTTTACCATGGCTTTTATAGCTGCCGTTCTGACACGGGGGTCCTGGTCACTGAAGTAATCCCCTATAATCTTCTGGACATCTCTGACAGCTAGGCTGTCTGTATCCTTTGTAACAGTTTTCTCCAAAGAGCCAAGATTGCCAAGTAATTGCAGGCACTTATTTCTTACACCATGGGAGGTATCTGCCAGGTGCTATAAAAAGAAAAGAGAAAACAAAAGGACATGATTAAGATAACTTAAAAACAAACAAACAGCAACAACAACAAAAAAAACTGAAACAAAAGCATTCATTCAGCTTCAGGAGTGATTCTGAACACTACATTCTCACCACAGCCTGTAATATCATGTTGCTTGAATATGTATCTTCCAAAAACAATCATGAATCCTTAGAAAATAAAAAATAAGACTCCCATTTGTTTATCATTGTAGTACTGACAGCTAGAATTTTGCCTTGTAAATGTAAGCGTAAGTACTTTAAAAATGGATTCTAAATTGCATTTTATTTGCTATCAAATTTAAAAACAAAACAAAAAATATAAATTAAGTTTTTAATATAAATTATAAATTAATATAAATATAAATTAAGTTTTTAATAAGTTTTTAAATAGTGTAAAAAAATAATTTTTACACTAATATGTAAAAATCTTAAGTGTACTGCTCAAATAATTTCACAAAATGAATACACACATATAACAAGTACCCAGATAAAGAAACAGAATATGACCAACACCCCAGAAACAACCCTTTCATTCCCCCTCCCAGTAATAACTCCACCACCATAAAAAATAGCCAGTATCTTAACTTTTAACACATAGGTTTATTTTGCCTATTTTTGTACTTTATAAAAATAGTGTCTGGGGCCGGTCCAGTGGCGCTGTTGGTTAGGAGTTGGCTTGGGATGGCAGCTCTGAGCAGCAGGGCGCCGGTTGATAATACCAACATGGGCCAGTGAAGCAACGTCCTCCACAACTAGACTGAAGAACAAAAGGACAGCAACTTGTCTGTTTCCCTTCCCTGATTCCCAACGCTGTTCTCCTCCCCCAATTCCCCAATAAAATCTTCTTTAAAAAAAGTGTCTGGTTTCTTTTGCTTAATATTATCTTTGTGAGATTAGAAAGTATAGTATGGCATATAACTATGGTTCAGTCATTCTCATTACTGTATAGTATTCCATTTTTTAATAAACTACAATCCATTTAACCTTTCTACTGTTGGTAGATATTTGGGTTATTTCCAGGTTTTTGCTACTCTGAATAATGCTACTATGGTTATTCTTGAACGTGGCTTTTGGTGTACATGTTCACATTTCTGCTGGATAGATATACTTAGGAATGGAATTGCTGGGTCACAGGGCATGTATATGTTCATTTTAAAAAGACACTGCCAAATAGTTTTCCAAAGCAGTTGTACTAATTTACACTGCCACCAGTAACACTTATGTGTTCCTGTTGTGCCACATCCTTGTCAACACTTAGTATTGTCAATCTTTTTCATTTTAGTTCTCACCAGCATTTTAAACAAATTATCAGTTATCTTTCTCTCATACCTAGTCCAAAGCTACTGAAATAAGCTATTTACATAATGCAGTAACAGGAGCTGAAAATACTTAAATGAAAGGAGGTTGCACAGTATGTTACATTATGGTATGAAACTCTGCCTTTTAAACTTTTTAGGCTGAGGCCCACAGTAAGAAATACCCATCACATTGCAACATAGTACACATACAAACATATATACAGAAAGTTTAACAAAACAGTATGTACCCTTACATCTTGTGATGTGCTCCGATACTTGAATTCTATTTCATTTTTCAAAAAATACTGATCATGGTTGCATTACCCACCAATGGATCAAGATACTCAGTTTGAAAGGCCCTGGTGTAGAGAAAAGTAATGGATCTTGAAATTTAAAAATTTGGGTTCACAAATCTCCTTAGAAAAATGGCTAGTTTCAAGATTGGGTCACAAAATTTGTAAGAAGAGTCTGGGACTTCTTGTGCCAGAAAGCAAGGAAGATGTCAAGAACTAATGGTGTACAGATCAAAAGGACACAAACCAATCTGTAGTGGGTTCCCATTGTCAAAATTTATACAACTCCAAAAGGAAGCACTCAAAAAAATCTAGAATGCAGGACATTCCATAAAACCAATGATTCAGTTTCTTTAATAAATCCATCCCATTTAAAGAAAAAACAAAAGGGGAAACTGTAACCAATTAAAAGAAATTTAAGACACTATCTAAATACAATACACGGGTCTTTTGGGATGCTAATCCAAAACAAGCCAACTATAAAAATATATTTTTAATGCAATTAAGGAAATTTTAATGTGAATTGGTATGAAGTGATATGGAGTAACTGTTAATACTTGCATCATGGCTATATTTTAAAAATAGTATTAGAGACACAAACAGAAATATTTATGATTGAAATAACATGATGTCAGGAATTTACTTTAAAATACTAGAGCAGACAACAACAAAAAGTGAGAACAAATGAAAAAGGTTGCAAAGCATAAATAATTGTCCAATTTAAACTCAAAACTAGAAAGAATAGCAAATTTGAAAATTTCCGTAATATAAAGTATATACCGGGCGTGCCAAAAAAAATGTATACACATGACTTGTACTCATCTTTTGTTATTGGTATATATTGAGTATTACAATTTTCATCAGCTTTTTTCTTTCTTAAAATGTGTATACATTTTTTGGCACCCTGTGTATGTAAAAGACCTAACTTCAAATTTCAGCTCTGACTCACTGTAAGTTTAACTTTGGTCAAGTCACTGGACCTCTCAGAGCATCAGATTCCTCATTCCTAAGAAGGAACAATACAGATTTACATTTAATTATCTAACTTATAGGTTTATCATGAGTTTCAGATAGAAATATAAATGTAACAAAACTTTATTTACTATAAAGCATGATATAACTACTAGCTATGTTACTATAATCTAAAATAGTAAGAAAGGTATATGGTCACAGATAAAGTATATACATATATGGTTTCATTAGGAGAATAACTACATATACAATTATCAATACAAAACCAGTATCTTTAGATATTGCCTTCAAGTTCAAATTTTCCAGAATTTTCTATCTATAAATGAAATCACTGATTTGAAATCACACTATTCTTTCTCTCTTGCTTGCTCTAACATTATTGACACATACAGTCTCTGGAAGTACCCTCAGTAATCATCCATCTTTTTCCTCTTGCCTTAAAGTTCACCAATCCTCTATTTTACAGAACCACAGGATTAAGTGCTATGTCTAATAATACACAAATAACTTAGTGGGAGAGCTAATACTGTAATCCAAGTCTCCTGACACTCAATCTAGAGCTCTTTTCCCCACTCATCTGCATAAATAATTTCATGATTTTAAAAACTTTACTATGTTCAGAGCTGGGCATTTGAACGTTAAATACTTAAAAAGCTCTGCAATACTTAACTGTTTTCATTACAAATATGAATACTGTTATTTCCAAGTATCATTATTCTCCAGTGATAAAAAATTACCGTATTTTGCCATATATAATGCGCACCCATGTTTTTGGCCCAAACTTTCAGGGAAAAAAATCTTTCATTTTAATTTTTTAATTCAAGTTTTTATTTGTTTACATTTAGGTACTTGTTTTTTGTATTGTAAAGGAATTTTAGCATTTATTTTTATTTTTTATTTTTATTATTTATTTATTTTTTTTTTTTAAAGAAGTGATCTCTGATCATCTTTTTTAAGATTTTTTATTGGGGAATTGGAAACAGTGCTGGGGAATTGGGGGAAGGGGAACAGACAAGTTGCTGTCGTTTTGTTCTTCAGTCTAGTTGTGGAGGACTCACGTAGCCCAGCTCCAGGTTGAGTTGTAGTTCATCATCTTAGCTGTAGAGGGCAGTGTCACTGGCCCTCATATGTGGGATTCGAACAGGGGCCCTCTGGCGTCCCAAGCCAGTTCTTAACCATGGCACCACTCGGCCGGCCCAGCATTTATTTTTTAACATTTTGATACAAGAAATTTTATGTAACAAATAATTACAAAGCACAAGAACAGACACAAGGTACAAGATAGTTTATGTACTGGTAACAAATTTACAATATTTAAACATCATAGAACGCTAAGAACTCTTCATTGTTGCAAGTTCGTCTTAAGTTCAACAAAACCGATTATCATATTCCAGGGTATTAGTTTGCATACGGATATCATTATTAATTTCTAGAGTTACACTTTTAACTCATAAGCATAAATTTAAAAAAATTAAAAACATTTATATAGATACAGAATCAGTACTACCCATGTATAATGTGCATCCTTATTTTTCCCTCACAAATTTGGGCAAAAAAGTTTGTATTATACATGGCAAGATGTGGTACTCAGGTTTCTAATTATTGCCTGATGAACATAGCAATACTAAATTAATAACCAATTCTGAAGATTAGCTAACCAGACTGCCAACACCTTATGTAACACACACACACACACACACACACACACACACACACACACACACACTGAACAGATGGGAAGATGTATCATAAATATATTAAGGATGATACTGTAGAACAGGGAAGTTACAAATAATAGAGAGAAAAACCTAGAATGAACACTATAGTGTTGGGTCTGAATTACAAATACAGATGATAACATAGATCTTCATTACATATAGACATAGAAATATAGATGTAAATATAGATGTGTATATATCATTTATATACATCCTCTAACTGTGCACTGAGAGGGCCCTAAGTAGCAACACCCCAATAGCAAAGAACACATTCAGTGCCCAAATCTTGGTTTCAAAATACAAGTCTCCACTAAGAGCAACCAGGGCTTCTCGGAACAAGACTGATTCCAGGGCTAGAGAAGAAAAAGTAAGATGAGCCTGGAATATTTTATTGTGCCAGAAAAAAATGAAATACTCAAAGAGCAATAGAGAGAAGTCAAAAGGACACAGAAGCCAACTTGAAGGGGTTCCCACTTGGCTGAATCAGGAATTTGAACATCAAGATGAATAATGATAATAACAGATTATGACTCTTTGAATAAACAAGGAATCTGTGAGTCCATAACTGATATTAATAAATAAATGGAAAGTTTGACGACAGAATATATATATAGTTTCAAAGTACAACCCCACAAAATACATACTCATTTCAAAATGAAAGAGTAACTGTATAGTGAAGAAGTCTGATAGACGC